TCCGCCCCTCTCCCCTGCACGCACCCGTTTGTCAGTTAATTTGGGTGGTTTACTTTTTTTTCCAGTCCTTTTGAATTGGACACACACAGGAGATTAGCATGGCCCTGCACGGATGACACTCCTCGTTCTCCTCAGACTCCTCGCGCTCTTCGCGCACTTCTCCTTCCTCTCGCTCTTCCAATCGATATTCTCTTCCTCTTCCTCATATCATCCTCCGCATTCCCTACCTTCGCCTTACGCTCTTCTCCTCCTCCTCTCTCTCTCTCTCTCTCTCTCTCTCTCTCTCTCTCTCTCTCTCTCTGCCAGAGCCCTTTCCTCGCTCCTTGCTCCACCCCCCCTCCCTTTGCCCTGCCCTTCACCCGACTTCTCTTTGCCACCTTTCCCCTTCATCCCAGCCTCCTTCCGACCTCCTACTCTTCAACCTTCTTGCCGACCAACTCCCTCCCCTTTCTTCTTTCGCCCAATCGACACCTCACTTCTCTCTCCCCCGACCTCCTCCACTCAGTTCTACCAATCTCCACCTTCGCTTGACCTCCTCCCTCCCCTGACCTTCTTCCTTCCCTTGATTCCTCCGCAACCTCCACCTGATCTACTGCCTCCATTCTTCCCTCCACCCTAACTCCTGGCTACCTCCGACGCCAGAACACATGTTCGCTTGGTCCCTCGTCAAATCGTCCCCAAAAACCACCGGGTGGCGCCAGGATTTCCCGGCAATCTTTTATGGATACATAGGACATGGATCTCGTTTTTTTCCTTTCTCCTGTAGACATGAACGCAGCATATCTTTTTCCTGCATTCCTTTTCAAGATGTCAATAAAGGTGCACTCGCGCAAGAAAGAGAAAGGAACAGGGAGAGGGGGAGAGAGACGGGACAGACAGACAGACATACTTCCCCTCGCACTCTCCCCCACATCCTCCTCAAGCTGTTCCTTCCCCTTCACGCTCTTCTTTACGTGCACCTTCTCCCTTGTCAGTCTCCTCCACCACCCAAGGTTCGTCTTTCCCCTCAAGCTCTTCCTCCCAAATCATCAAACTGAGCCGCACCAGGTATTTCAAAAGATCGACAATAGAGGTTTCTTTCCACAGTCTCGCTCTTCCTCCCGCATTCCCTTCGCCCGCCACAGCATTTCAGTCCTCTCTCTCTCTCTCTCTCTCTCTCTCTCTCTCTCTCTCTCTCTCTCTCTCTCTC